TGTCTCTTTCATTATGGGTCCCATACAACAACCCTGGTAATCTTTCAAAACACGTTGAAATGATACAGTCGTCATACTGGTTTGCTTACACTATAGGTGCTATGGAGTGTATATAAAATATGCATAAAGTACATAGTTTGTTTACACAAACTTGCATTGAATGACAACAACTGCCCTTTTATGTGTGACTTTCTAAACAAAGGCAAGGTTTCTTTGGTTTTACTATGCTTTATTGACACCCTTTTCTCACCATTTGCAGGTATATCAGAGCAATGGAAAACCCAGGGCAGGTGACCTTATCTGCTCCCTATCTAGACGTTGGTGGCGCTGGTTACATTGTAACGCTGAGTCATAGTGTGTATGAAGGAAAGTAAGTAGCCAATGTCATCTGCACAATGAAGTTAAAATTCAGAGAAGAAGGGTTTAATAATAATATTCCAAAATCTAGGCTTCAGAGTGCAAGCTTACTTTTTCCATACATAATGCAGATAGCTTTATGTAAACATCGATATGAATGAGAAGTACTTTATTAATGAATTGTTTTTTTTCTCTTGATTCACAGATCAGACCAACGTCATACCTCAGCTGACCGTGTGGTTGCTACTATGGGCATAGATTTTACAATCAAATATTTTTACAAACTACTGATGGAAATTTTTCCAATTTGTGTCGAACAGTATATAAGGTGAGAAAATCTAGAAATCTTTTAAATAAGTCAAATATCAGTCAAATTTAATGAGGCCTAAAAAGTTGTGTGCACCTAGAATAGAAGTGTGTTTCAATCTTTTTTTTCATTGATTTCACTGCTGCACAGCGCCTTCTGTTGATGAATTGATGAAAGCTACAAAATTTGTGCCTTGTTGAATGTTTTAGCAAAAAAAAAATCATCTCGCCAACCAAATTTTGAAAAATAATTTGACCAGAATTTTTTTTTTTCTCTCGGGGGACTAAAAGTTTTCAGTTTGTGACTTTCTTGAAGACAAAAAATTCTAGGAACATTATCTGCCCGTTTTTTTGTGTGAATTATTTTGTTCATATTGTTTTAATTATTTTTTTCAGATGTTTTATATTTGACGATAAGGGTTACTTAATTGCACATCCTGGTTTGATAGAACCAGCTGGTACTGGACCGTCTGAACAGACACATATAACACACAAAGTAAGTGTTTTTGAATGAGCTAGTGCTAATAATCACCTTCTTAAAGGATTCAGGACTCCCTAGGAGTCTTGCATGAAACTGATTTTTTTTTTAAATGACAGAAGTGATTGTGCAGATTTTTCATATTGCTCCATTTGTCATAATTACATAAAAAGTTGTTGCTTGATTCCAACATCGTTTCATTTTAATCACCAGGAACCACTGGTTGCCAATGATATCCTAAACCACCCTGGCTTTGTGCGCAAGAAACTCTGCAATGGCTACAATGATCGTACTGTACAGCGATATTTCCATTTCAACGCATCCTTCCATGGTATACTTACCAATCTCAAACATGGTGAACACTGCTCTAAGTATGAAATCACACAGATACCCGGTACAAACTCATTTATGGGAATAGTGAACCAAACATGTGAAGACTTCACTGCATTTTGTCCTTGCAGTATGGTAAGTGATTTACATTCTACCTTCAGATTTCTAGCCAGGCTCTTATTTTTCTCCATGAACATTATTTTCCAACCTTTTTTTTTCAAAGACTGACATTACTTTGCCTTAGAAACTTATGTTTTTCATTTTTTTTGATAAGTTTATTTAATTTCACTTCGAAATTACATGAAACAAATGTTGCATCATGTTGATTTGTTGTTTTTTGTGCCAGGAGACAATATTTTGACACACACTGAGTGTTTGTCTTTTGGATTCCAGTGAAAATGTTACTGCTACAAATTTTTATTTGTCTTTTTAAAGAGATTAATTAAGATTCATTTTCTTTCTGTTTTGTATTTAATATTGACTCTCCATTTGCGTTTTCGTAGGTGGATCGTTTATGTCTGAACTGTTATCGCATGGAACAGACGGAATGCGAATGTCCGTGTGAATGCACGCTAGAAATGGACCAGTGTAATGGAAGTCTCAAGCATCATGAAGACAGGTCAGTTAAACTTCTCTGAAATACAGCTTTTCTGAGTTCATAGTCATACAGTTACCCATCCTTTATATATATATATATATATATATATATATATATATGTATATGTATATGTATATATATATATATGTATATGTATATGTATATATATATGTATATATCAGATGTTAATGATAACAAATGATTTGACACAGCTGACTTTGAGGGAAAAAGAAAAAAAAAACTGTATGCTTAGCTCTGTCATGGTGGGAAAAAGTAATATGATGATGATGTCTGTCTGTCTGTATGTGTGAAACTGGTTTGGCATTTTTATATGCCTGAATTGGGCGTCCACAACTTTGTGGATGTTAGAGTAAATGTTTGTGTTATGTTTTCCCTGTAGGAACCCAAGCTGTCAGCTGGCTGTGGAACCCACCAAGTTTCCTGAAGTAGATTTGGAAGCCACTATAGATTTACCACAATGTTTTGATCCAAAGTGTCATGAAAGGAAAACGAAAAGGTATTATCATTATGATTTGAATTTGAAGCAAATTTAAAGTTTTATGAATCATTTATGAATCGGTGGTCGGTAATAATAATAATATTCTGTTAGCATGTGTTTTTTCAACTTTATTTAAAAGTTTTGATGTCTTTTCTTTTTACAGTGATTGTTTTGGAGTACTGGACTGTGAGTGGTGTGAAATTGAAGCAGACGGCACGTCTTCAGTTACGACCCCGTACTGTGCTAGTCAAAGAGTCTGTTTTGGTGGCGTTATCGGTGCATCCACACCGTACGCTGATCAGATCAGTAAGTGGAATAAATTTCTCATTTTTTTACCATCAACTTCATCTACACATCATTATCTTTGAACACAAATGTATGTGTGCATGTAATGGTATATGTGTGCATGTAATGGTATATGTGTGTGGAATAGTATATGTGTGCATGTAATGGTATATGTGTGCATGTAATGGTATATGTGTGTGGAATAGTATATGTGTGCATGTAATGGTATATGTGTGCATGTAATGGTATATGTGTGCATGTAATGGTATATGTGTGTGGAATAGTATATGTGTGCATGTAATAGTATATGTGTGCATATAATGGTATATGTGTGCATGTAATGGTATATGTGTGCATGTAATGGTATATGTGTGTGGAATAGTATATGTGTGCATGTAATGGTATATGTGTGCATGTAATGGTATATGTGTGCATGTAATGGTATATGTGTGTGGAATAGTATATGTGTGCATGTAATGGTATATGTGTGCTTGTAATGGTATATGTGTGTGGAATAGTATGTGTGCATGTAATGGTATATGTGTGCATGTAATGGTATATGTGTGCATGTAATGGTATATGTGTGCATGTAATTTTTTTAATGGTATATGTGTGTGGAATAGTATATGTGTGCATGTAATGGTATATGTGTGCATGTAATGGTATATGTGTGTGGAATGGTATATGTGTGCATGTAATGGTATATGTGTGCATGTAATGGTATATGTGTGCATGTAATAGTATATGTGTGCATGTAATGGTATATGTGTGCATGTAATGGTATATGTGTGCATGTAATGGTATATGTGTGCATGTAATGGTATATGTGTGCATGTAATGGTATATGTGTGCATGTAATGGTATATGTGTGCATGTAATAGTATATGTGTGCATGTAATAGTATATGTGTGCATGTAATAGTATATGTGTGTGGAATAGTATATGTGTGCATGTAATGGTATATGTGTGTGGAATAGTATATGTGTGTATGTAATGGTATATGTGTGCATGTAATGGTATATGTGTGCATGTAATGGTATATGTGTGCATGTAATGGTATATGTGTGCATGTAATTTTTTTAATGGTATATGTGTGTGGAATAGTATATGTGTGCATGTAATGGTATATGTGTGCATGTAATGGTATATGTGTGCATGTAATGGTATATGTGTGCATGTAATAGTATATGTGTACATGTAATGGTATATGTGTGCATGTAATGGTATATGTGTGCATGTGTGTGTAATAGTATATATGTGTGTGTAATAGTATATGTGTGCATGTAATGGTATATGTGTGCATGTAATGGTATATGTGTGCATGTAATAGTATATGTGTGCATGTAATGGTATATGTGTGCATGGAATAGTATATGTGTGCATGTAATGGTATATGTGTGCATGTAATGGTATATGTGTGTGGAATAGTATATGTGTGCATGTAATGGTATATGTGTGCATGTAATGGTATATGTGTGTGGAATAGTATATGTGTGCATGTAATGGTATATGTGTGCATGTAATGGTATATGTGTGTGGAATGGTATATGTGTGCATGTAATGGTATATGTGTGCATGTAATGGTATATGTGTGCATGTAATGGTATATGTGTGCATGTAATGGTATATGTGTGCATGTAATGGTATATGTGTGCATGTAATAGTATATGTGTGCATGTAATAGTATATGTGTGCATGTAATAGTATATGTGTGTGGAATAGTATATGTGTGCATGTAATGGTATATGTGTGTGGAATAGTATATGTGTGCATGTAATGGTATATGTGTGCATGTAATGGTATATGTGTGCATGTAATGGTATATGTGTGCATGTAATGGTATATGTGTGCATGTAATGGTATATGTGTGCATGTAATTTTTTTAATGGTATATGTGTGTGGAATAGTATATGTGTGCATGTAATGGTATATGTGTGCATGTAATGGTATATGTGTGCATGTAATGGTATATGTGTGCATGTAATGGTATATGTGTGCATGTAATAGTATATGTGTACATGTAATGGTATATGTGTGCATGTAATGGTATATGTGTGCATGTGTGTGGAATAGTATATATGTGTGT